GGAGAACCCAGGTCTGGGTTCTCCAGGAGAGCCCAGTCTGGGTTCTTCCCGAAGAACCCGATCTGGGTTCTCTTGGAGAACCTAGACTCCTTTTTTTTTTTCTCTCTCTGGCCGCTCGAAGCACCGAATCAAATTCATAGAAAAGTCAAAAATTGGACAAGGAATAAGAAACAACAACAGAAAAAGGAAATTGCAGTGGAAATTGAATGGAGTGACAATCTTTCATCATACCAGAACAATGCATCCACCGAAACCCATCCCCTCAAAGATTTGGTGAAACGCCTCCAATGAAACCTACAATTTCTTCCTTTCATTTTCTTATCCCTCAATCAACACCAGATTTGGATTTTTACCAAAAGAAAAAAAAAAAAAACCAGATATGGATATTTTCCTTCTAACACCATCATCATTGTCGATTATTAAGGGGAAGGAGAAGCAGATCTGGTTTCGGGGAAGGAGAAGAGTTCGGTAGAGGAAGGTGCAGAGACAAGAAGAAAAAGGGTTATTAAGGGGAAAAGGACTTTTAAGGTTAAATCTGTAATTTTATTATTAAAATTACTCGGTTATTAAGGGTGTGCACCCCCGGGTGTCGAACCGGAGGGTGCACATAGCATTTTCCAATAAATAAAGACTATGATTGAAAAATAACTAATAGAAAAATAAAAAGAAAGCTAAAAAAAAATTAAACTTTGAAATTTGAAATTGTATATACTCATCGTTGCCTAAAAATGCAAGGAAGGAAAAAAGTTATTAGTTACGTGTGTGATATGTTTGGTTTAGAATTTGTTATTTATAAACTTGTATGTGATTTCTTTTATTTTTATTTTTGTATTTATTCCTTTTAATTTTAAAAATTATTGTTATTATATAGATATTAAGTATAATAATGATTTATAAACTGTCATTTATACAAGTAACATATCAATTAAACAAAATGATTAAACAGATCGGGTAAATAATTTTGAACATTTATACTTGTTACTTGATTTAATACTTGTGGATATACTATTTTCATACTTATTACTTACCTAATTTGGTTACAATTCAACTAAAGTACTTATCCAAACAGATAAAGTACCTGCAAGTAACGGGTACACTCTTACCCAATGCTCACCCCTACGTGTAAGTGTGGTGCGTAAGGTGTTCGATAAAATGCTTGAGAGAAGTCCTGTTGCTTGGAATTTAATGGTATCGGGATATGGGTAAAATGGTTCTGCTAAGGAAGGAATTGCATTGTTTTATATAATGCGGAATTTAGGTGTTGAACCGGATTCCATTACATATGTGAGCGTGCTGTGGTCTGCTTGTGCTCAGTTGGGTGCAATTGGTTTAGGTTGTTGGGTGCCTGACTACATTAATTGTTAGTAAAAGTTTTGATGTGAATGTGGTGCTTGGTACTGCACTGATTAACATGTATGCTAGGTGTGGCAATGTGAACAAAGCACAAGAAGTTTTTTATTTAATGGATGAAAATAATGTTGTTGGTTGGGCTGCAATGATTTCAGGTTATGGAATGCATGGTTATGGCGAGCTAGCAGTTGAGCTCTTTAAGAACATGAGAGCCTCTGGTCTAAAACCTAACAATATCACATTTGTTGCTGTTTTATCAGCATGTGCTCTGCGGGACTTGTCCACGAGGGTCATCATGTGTTTGCTAGCATGAGGCAAGTGTATGGATTGGTGCTAGAGTAGAGTAGAGGATCATGTTTGCATGCTTGATATGCTAGGGCGTGCTGGACTTGTGAATGAAGCATATGAATTCATCAAAGATATGATACTTGAT